ATCAAATATGTTTCCTTTCTTCACTACTGGATGAAATTACAAAATGTACCCATCATTTTCCTCATGCTAGTATAGCCACATACAAGTATCAAACCACCTGTTAAAATGCACCAGAATAATGGAAATACCATTTATTTTCGTGAGGGGCGACCCACACACCCCCCGTTAAAAATGTCCTCTCCACATTCAGGATGCTTCCTACGCCCATGCTTTCAACTGATTGCAATGTATTCCCATCTGCGGCGGGATTTGACGCTCATGGAAGCACGGCATTCATTTGTGCCCTTAAAGGCCCTTAAAGCCCTTAAAGGCAATGTGATCGTCCATTCTCATTGGATAACGGAGAATTTTACACCCGGAAGTAAGTATTCCCCTTACTGTCGATTGATTTTACAGTGATATCTGAACTACTCATCGACTAAAAAACACCAGATTATCCTTGTTAATTACACAACATTGATTGGTTTAAATTGTGTGCAATGCTTTTGTATTTTTCCCCTTCGATTCGGAGAAACAAATATTTTTTCGGAGTAAAGGATGGCAGAAGACACTACACTACCCAGAATCCCCAGCTATCATACACCATGTGCTCTGTTTGACAAACCCCGTGATAGTCCTCAAGCTCTGTGATTGGAGAGTGTGCTCCGAGGGTTATAACAGCACTTGAAATGGGATGGAACCACGGCAGACTGTCCAAAACTGGATTTGAACGGGTCCACCGCGTCCCCCCCTCCCCCACTCCGTCCCCAGAACTACACATGCTGGCTATTGTGTTTCGCAACATGTTCTGTATCTATGGCACGTCTCTACTGGGAGTTGTAGTTTTAAAAGACGTTTTCGTATTTCCCATAATAAGAAGTTGCCAGTATTAAACTGTGTACATCCCTGGAGGTTTAGGGGATAGGAAACACTCAAATTAAAAACATATAATTAATAAATGGGTGAAAATTGCTTGTGCCCATAATGGGCAGCATTAATATATATACACACATGCCAGCTAAGGTCAGAAGAGCTTTATTTAACAGCTGGTCTTATGTTTGTGACCCCTGTTGTTAATTGATAACATTACATTACATTACATTAATTGATAAGCCTGAAACATGCACTTGTCAAGGTTCAGAGGCACATTTTGCAAATATGGCAGTAGCCATCGATCAGCTTAAGATAAGATATACTTTATTGATCCCAAGTTGGAACATTTGCGTTACATCAGCATGTGTAACAGTTGTAAATATGCAGTGGTGTTTATTTGTAAATCATTTAGTATAATCACACAAATTCTGTGTTTTATATTCAACAATTCTGTGTTCTTTATTTATTGATTGTTCAATACCTGACAAGGCCGGAGATGAAATATCTACATACATCTTATAAGAGTATAATACATTATGTATAATATCAGTTAAAATAAGTGCTTCAACATAGTTAACATTGCTGGAGGTATGCACAAATATTGATAGATGTCTTGTAATGCACTATTGAGGAACCTGCGACCCAAGTTTTTCATTCAATGCATAACTACACCATAGTTGTGTAGGCCTATATGATATGTCAATAAACCTTAGAAAATCTTGAAATCTTGAAAGGGATGTGCAAAATAGTCATTATATACGGTCTTTAATGAACTATTAGTAGAGGATAACGAGTAATGAATATACTTTATAGGGATCCTATTCATATCTAATAATAAAAATAATGAAATTCAATAACATGCTTTAACCACTAGGTGTCCCAAATCACCTCTATCTATCTCCGGCAAACTCATTTCCACCACAGAATCACTCAAATGTATTGGCACTCACATAAGCAATAACCTCAAATGGAAGACCAACACAGACCACATATACAAAAAAGCCAACCAAAGGCTATTCTTTCTGCGGCAGCTCAAGAAATACAGAGTGAGGAAACATCTCCTAATCCAGTTCTACACAGCCATCATCCAAAGCATCCTCACATAATCCATCACAGTCTGGTACAGCAGTTCAGACAACCTCTCCCGGAATAAACTTCAACGTATCATCAATAAAGCATCAAAAATCACCTGCAGTCCCCTTCCATCACTTGAATCACTTCACCACCAACGAACTGTCACAAGGGCAAAGAAAATCATTTCTGACCCCTCCCACCCAGGTCACCATGTCTTCCAACTTCTGCCCTCAGGGAGGCGCTACAGGTCACTGTCCGCCAAAACCGCCCGCTTCAAAAACAGCTTTTTCCCCTTTGCAATACGGACACTAAATGGACTCTAAATAACCCCAATGAACAATAACAATCCACCACACCTTGAACTTTATTTTATATGTCTTTGCCCTGTGCTGTGTGTTGTACTTTTTATTGTCTGTTTATTGTATGTTGAATTGTATGGAACAAGCTGTAATACTCTGCACTGAACACAAATTCCACCAGCCTGGCTGTGTGGTCATTAAAGATTCTAATCTAATCTAATATCAGCTGTGCACCTTTATGGTGTAAATACAGCCTATCTACCAATTGGATCAAATATAAAAGTCAGCCGAATTAGTGTTGATACTGCAAGGAGACGTATTGTGTGAAAAGAAATGTAAGATGTTGTTTAATGGCTGATATATTTATGATCCACGTCACGTTTTCAGTTCCTCATGTTTGTCTAGAAGTCTTCTCATCAGGGCTCTATAAATAGAGAACTACGGCAGATATGTAATATTTAATGCAGCCGAACCGTGTATTACAATGCCGTTATGTGATGACTTCCAAAGAGAAAAGCAAGCACACTCGGAATAAAGCATTATTTTATTTTAAAAAAATGTTTTCGCTCTGTTTCCGGTATTTGTTAATGACGATGTGCTGTGAGATGTGAGACTGGAATTGCACAGGGGAAAATAACGTAGGCCAACATTACCCTAACCCTAACCCTACCCCTCACACCAGATACTGACTGGTTTTCGGACCCCCCCAGACCCCCCCAATAAAGCAAAACTGCACGTTTCAGAGTGGCCTTTTATTGTGGCCAGCCTAAGGCACACCTGTGCAATAATCATGCTGTCTAATCAGCATCTTGATATGCCACACCTGTGAGGTGGGATGGATTATCTCGGCAAAGGAGAAGTGCTCACTATCACAGATTTTTTCAGATTTGTGAACAATATTTGAGAGAAATGGTTATTTTGTGTATATAGAAAATGTTTTAGATCTTTGAGTTCATCTCATGAAAAATGGGAGCAAAAACAAAAGTGTTGCGTTTATATTTTTGTTCCGTGTAAGTAAGATTGTGAATGCATGATGTTTAACCGAGTATTTCTAACAAGTGATATTACTACCTTTACTGAAGTTAAAGACCAGTGTACTTTGTCTACTACTGATAATGATGATAAATGGTAACACTTTGAACTCTTGCTCTTCACTGATTGTGGCGCCAGGTGTACTACTATAACAACTACTATAATAATCTCTATCTCACTCCTAACACATCTAAATCTACTTCCAGCATGGATAAATGTTAATAAAATACATCCATTGTTTGTTCTATATGATTCTTGGAATCCAAAAAAACACATCGTCTTTCTAGAACAGATTACAGAAAGGTCTTTTATTTTTGAAACTCTACATCATAATGTCCTAATTTTCTCTGAGTGACTAGATGGGGTGTCCTGCTATCACCCTGCAGTGAAATGAGTCTTTGATACTGGAGAGTTTTTGTTGTATTCTTATCTAAAAACAGAGGGATGATAGTTCATATAATAGAGACTTCAAAGGTCTTTTATTTTGAAACTCTACATCAGAATGTCCTAATTTTCTCTGAGTGACTAGATGGGGTGTCCTGCTATCACCCTGAAGTGAAATAAGTCTTTGATGATTGACAGTTTTGTATTTATTCTTATCTAAAAACAGAAGGCCCATATGAGATTTCAAAAATATTTTATTTTTAAACTCCTTAAGTTTTACATTCACTCAGTTATAATGTGGTAGTTATACGTAGTTTGTTTTAACATTATATATATAGTACATATTTCTTAATTTAATCCCCAGTATATATGAATATGTTTGGTATATTTGTTATTGACCGAGTAAGCGCTTTTATTTAGAAGGCAGTTTTTCCAGGCCTCTACCGTAATGCATAGGCATAGGTACCGCAATATAACGTGCGGGCTGGCTTGATTGCGTTTTCCCAAGTGGAGGCTGGCTTGACCGCAGTAAGGTTAAGCTGTCATTATTAGGCTGTTATGCACTGTTGGAGTGGTAAGCAGCAGGCCTATCGTTTTTGGATATTTGTCAGGTGGTCCGTGAGTGTTTTTGTATTGGTGAAGTGTCCTTGGTATGAAAAAGTTTGAAAAACACTGCGCTAGTGGATTGTCAACGGGGGAGCCTCGCTGCGGGGAAATTATACAGATGGCTAGTCCGCCCCTGAAAAATGTCTATGAACACGTTATTATTAAGAATATATATTTTTTTAATGGGTACAAAAAAAAAACTCGTACACTCGGGGTCTCGCGACCCCCACTTTGGGAACCCCTGCCTTAATGCACTGTCAAAAGATCAAGCTATTGTCGAGGCATATCTGCGATTGGCCCATTGGCAGCTTTTGGTTGGAATAAATCTGAGCACTCACTACTAGTCAGACAGGTTTAGTTGGGTTAGCTGATAAGAAAACAGGTGACAAAGTCCATACATGTATACACAAGGGTGAGTCCTGAACACACCTACATCAGGTTCATGACCCACACAGCTCGTTTAGTGTCAGTGTGAGCTGTGGATCAGGAAACATGTCAGAGAAACTCAAAGGCAACATTTTAGTGACGGGGGCCAACCGAGGCATCGGGCTTGCGCTGGTCAAACAGCTGGGAGAGACCCCCGGAGAGGAGGGTCACATCTACGCCTGCTGCCGGGACCCCCAGGGGCCGGGGGCTCAGGTGAGACACTCACAGAAAACCTTTAAAACACACATACACACACACACACACACACACACACACACACACACACACACACACACACACACACACACACACACACACACACACACACACACACACACACACACATTGGAATGAAATCTGGAGCAACACATTAGCAAGATTTTTTTTAATTGTTATTTATAATTTGTTACTAATTATCATCTATCTCTATTGGGTTGAAGGGATTGTTGATGAATAAGTAACCCTTTCAATAAATGATGGATTATAGAGGGCTTTGAACAAAGTGTTAGATATACATTTTAATCTTCATATAACAAACTAAAAGCTATTATACTATACTTTAAGGGCTGAACCAAATTTGAATCTGGAAGATGCCGCTGCTGAACGAGTTAAGAGACGAAACTCATGGGTGTGACCATCCCGTGGACAGCTTCATTGTCCAGGGCTTATTGAAAGGATTAGGGAACTTTCAGAGACGTCCCTCAGTGATTGGGTGGTGCTTTAAAATGTTTCATGAAACGGCAGTCAACAACATTCCTTGCATTAGATTTTTACAAGACAAAAGAAAAGTAAATGTCTGTTGTGTTGAGACCAAATGTGTACATGTTGTGTTTGGAGTATCTGTCTCTATCCGTTCTCATCATGTATCTTTCTCTCATTGTCCCTGCAGGCCCTGAGAGACCTCTCCACTCAGTGTCCTGGGAAGATCACTGTAGTCAAGCTAGGTAAACACTACACGTCCTCATATATCTGTGAAATACCAAAAAACATTTATATACAAATATTGTATGTTGAAATATCAGGAAATAATGTCATAATATAATTTGTCAAAAATAAAATCGAAAAAGTGATAGTATAGTTTGATGAAAATATCATGTAAAAGTGATAGAACCTTATGTTCAAAAATATCTGAAAAATCGTTGAATACTTAAGAAAATACAATAGTATGGCGAAATTAGATGAAGCAAAGTATATTCACAATATCATGTAAAACTGATAGTGTTGTATATCAATACATATCAGAAACATATTCATAGTACAGCATGTATTAAAAAAAATATATACACACACAGTATAAAAAAGACATAGCATAGTATGTCGAAAATATGTAAATAAATATAGTATTTTGAAACTATAAGAAATAAAAATGACAGTTTCACCTGCCTCTTCATGTGCTTGGGTCATGTTTGTGTGAACATTTGTTTTAAATGTATTTATTTAGGAGGAGACACACATTCATTAACCTGAGCCCATCATGTGAAGGCTAATCTGCAGGCCCTGGCAGGCTGACGGCATTAAAACAAGACAAACAAGAGCACATGAGCACAGATCATAGCAGCACAATGAAAAGTCCTTATATTCAAAACCAGGGACACACAACAGACACAAACGCACATCCATCGGCAGAGATACACGCTAATAGACTCAGACAATTAGATAAAACAATGATACAATCCACACTTAGTGACACAGGGTTACAATCTGAATAAGCATTGTGGGTGTGTGTGTGTGTGTGTGTGTGTGTGTGTGTGTGTGTGTGTGTGTGTGTGTGTGTGTGTTGGAGCAGATGTATCAGACGTGGACAGCATCTCCTCTGCGGTCGAGACAGTGAGCAGGATCATCGGGGCCGGGGGGCTGAACCTCCTCATCAACAACGCTGCCATCAACAGACCCGAGACCCCCGCCCCCCTCTCTGCCTGCGGGAAGAAGGACATGATGGAGGCGTACGAAACAAATGTGGTCGGCCCGTTTCTCCTCGTGAAGGTAGGTCTGTGTTCTGGGGATCAGATGTGAGCGTGTGGTCGTGATGAGAGGAGGAAACCACTGCAGGGTTTACTATGAGGGGCCGTACAGGCCGTAATTCATACTGGTCCTCTCACGCACATACATTCTCCTTTTACATACATATATTTTCACTCTTACATACATACATTCTCCTTTTACATACATACATTTTCACTCTTACATACATACATTCTCCTTTTACATACATATATTTTCACTCTTACATACATACATTCTCCTTTTACATACATATATTTTCACTCTTACATACATACATTCTCCTTTTACATACATATATTTTATAATATGCATGTCTGAAGAGAATATATGTATGCAAGAGAAGAATGTATGTATGTGTGAAGACAATATATGTATGCAAGTGAAGAATGTATGTATGTGAGAGATAAAGTATAGTGGAAACGGAAGGAGTGTGGTTGAAACGGAAGGCAGGTCATTCTTGCGCTGTGATTGGCTCAGAAGGTCGAGCGGGGCGGGCTCATGTTCAGAACTTCTGATTTCAAATCAACATGACATGATGGAGGGAGATGATTCGCGTAGATTGCAGCAAGCATTAGGGGTTTTAAGGAACATTTGTCAACCCCTGAAACTGTCACATCCCTGGCCAGGTGTCCTTGCGGGTGCGTTCGCTTTACTTATCAGAGCGTGCCGTAAGGGCGGTTACTCTTTGGTTTATAAACTCCCGCCTGGGACGGACTGATGCATTAGATTATGTGCTATATGGAGGGGACTTTGACAGAGTATTTCTCACAAAGTACACAGTAAAAGTACTTCAATGTATTGTTAGTAGCAGTAAACTAGTACCGAGTCCAACAGTGTCAGTTTTATGAAGAACTTGTGGTAAAATATATTTGTAAAAAGAAAATGAAGAGCTACTGATTTGAAAAAACGGCTCTCTGTATAGTTTAAATTTCCTAACAATGTTGTCCATTTATTCTTCTCCCCTCGAGTCCAACAGTGTCAGTTTTATTAAGAACTTTCAGTAAAAAATATTTGTAAAATATGAAGAGCAGCTGATTTGACAAACGCAGGGAGCACGAATCCTTGTCAAAAAGAAGACATGGCCAGCAAATTAGACGCTGAAGTTTAGCGCTTCCAGTTAGCCACTCCGTGCGGACATAATTGTCCTCATTGAACGTCCGATTCTCTCCCTTTTTCCTCTGCGTACACACAGCTCGAGTGCGGGCATTTGCCTGTCATCTGAGTTAATTTTTAGTTGCTGCTGCTGTAGCGGAAGTTTAGTAAAGTTATGTTTGATTAAGTACGCCAAATCTCCACCCTCCATAATGCTTCATTTGCTTGATAATTTCTAACGGCGGTGATGACAGTTACAGTATTAAAAACTGATGTTGATGTGATTTGATTGGATGGCAGTGTCCAATCAAATCGCCAGCCGCCAGCCGCCTCTGAAGGGAAGCAAGAGGCGGCTAGCTTCCCTTGGCATGGCCCTGACCAATCACAGGTTGGCAGGGGCATCACGTGGGCCTCATCTGATTGGTCAATCCCTCCATTTTTTTTCACCAAGGGAGCGAGAGACGGCTGAGTGACCTCAGTGCAGAATCGCTGTATAGTTTAAATCTCCTAACAATGTTGTCCATTTTAGACACATGCCTATTATATTTACAGCCTTAATAACATTCATTTTCTGGGCTCAATGTGTGTCTTGGCCGTTTTCGTTGTGATCATTAAATTCACCTTGTTTCCCCTTGTTTATAATTATGTTCAACGTTCCAAGCAAACGAGTGCTTTTTGTTTTGAAATCACTTCCGCGAGTATCGCGCCCCCCCCCCCCCTCGCTACAATGACCATTAGACCATTAGACCATTTAGTAAGGTAAAAAACAAAAAGCAAAAACGCCTCGCAGACACTCTTCCGTTTACTTGTTTAATAAAGAAAAACAAGTGGTCCGTAGATACACGGAGTCATCTAACCCTAACCCTCTCCCTCCATCATGTTGATTTGAATCAGAAGTTCTGAACATGAGCCCGCCCCGCTCGACCTTCTGAGCCAATCACCGCACAAGAATGACCTGCCTTCCGTTTCAACCATACTCCTTCCGTTTCCACTATACTTTCTCTCACACATACATACATTCTTCTCTCACATACATATATTGTCTTCACACATACATACATTCTTCTCTCACATACATATATTGTCTTCACACATACATACATTCTTCACTTGCATACATATATTGTCTTCACACATACATACATTCTTCTCTCACATACATATATTGTCTTCACACATGCATATATTATAAAATATATGTATGTAAAAGGAGAATGTATGTATTTAAGAGTGAAAATGTAAAGGAGAATGTATGTATGTAAGAGTGAAAATATATGTATGTAAAAGGAGAATGTATGTGCGTGAGAGGACCAGTATGAATTACGGCCTGTACGGCCCCTCATAGTTTACACTGCTGGAAAGTACATTTACTACATCAGTAACACATCTAGGTACTTGTACTTTACTTGAGTATTTTCCTTTTATACTACTTTATACTTTTACTCCACCACATTTTGTAGGCAAATGTTGTATATTTATTTCACAGAATAAGTAACTAGCTTCTTTGTTGATTTAGATGATCAAATATACATCGACTAATTCATGTTCATATACTATAATAGGTTACCCGATTGATTATGAAACAATTGAAGTATTCATTTAGTGCAACAGTGAAGTGATTAACACATTATTGCACCAATAATTATAATACAAATTCAAATATGTGGTTCTTAAATGTATAATGAGTACTTTTACTTTTGGTACCTAAAGTAGTTGTTGATGCTAATATTTTGTACTTTTACTTTAGTACAATTTTGAATGCAGGACTTTTACTTTCAGCTGAGGATTTCGACATTGTAGTTTTGCTTATTTCACTTAAGTAAATAATCGGAGTACTCCTTCCACTTCTGATTGTTTGCAACCTCTGACAGAAGATTGATCTAGAAGAAGCTACACACCCTGATGATGACATCATCATGTATCTATGAAAGCAAAGCGGAGACAAGAATGTCTCCCATTGCAGACTACAAACCAACCTGTTTCGCCTGCTTGGCCATTCAACCACACACACACACACACACACACACACACACACACACACACACACACACACACACACACACACACACACACACACACACACACACACACACACACACACACACACACACACACACACACACACACACACACACACACACACACACACACACACACACACACACACGCACACACAGCTCTCTCTTCACACACACTCCTCTCTCTTCAGATGCTGCTCCCGCTCCTCCAGAAGGCTGCAGAGATGGACTATACTGTGAAGGGTAATGCAGTGAAAACAGCCTGAAATACTTTGAGTTCTACACAAACACACGTTACGTTTGACATTGATCATAATATAATAAACGTATTGTTGAACTCATATGTGCTGATTCAGGTGTTTGTCTCTCTGTGTCTCAGGTGATAAGATGTCCTGCAGCAGGTCGGCCATCGTCAACATCTCCACGCTCATCTCGTCCATAGAGAAATGTCCAGAAACATTCCCCATCGCACAGATGTACCCTTACAGGACCAGCAAGGTACAGTTTACATATACTTCATCTTAGTTTTAGATATTACATTTTTTTAAATTATTATAATAGCACTTCATCCCAACTTGTTCCTTTGAAGTCTGTATTAAATATTACGAGAAAACGGAGCTCTATCATTTGGTTTCAAAAGGTGGGATAATACAGTAACACACGAGCTTCAGAGGCCAGAGAGATAAAGATAATATTAAAGTCACAACTAAGGTCCAAATGAGACCCTTTTTCTCACTCAATTGCATGTTTACCACCCGCGATGCATTTACTTATTTCCAGCATTGAACGATAAGGCTTACTCTCCTGAAATACCTGTGCCAGTCAATTTCCTTAAACAGCTGTTCACTGCAGATTTGATCAAATAAAGGAAGTTCATTTGTTGGGGACTATTAATGTATAAATTCATATTGAAAAGTATTCCTCATAGAGCTTATATTGAGTTCCCTCTGTGTCACCATCTTACAATGTGCAGTTTGTGTAATAAGCAGCATGTGAGGCTCAGGATAGGAAAGGTTAGTATTTAATTATTATAATTGTTTCACACAGAAGAAGCTACTTGTTACGCATTATAAAACGACTGAAACACAACTAAAGCATAGAAATCACCATCCTAGAGAGCCACCCGCCATTACTGAGCAACATGAAGCACATGCTGCTAGCTGTAGCCCGAGGCTCTCTCTGTGGTGACTGACGTTTGGAATGCGGTTGTTACAAACTGCTCATACTGTAGATCCAGCTGTCGCCCGAGGCACCAACATTTGACACAAGTTCACAATTAGCATACTTTGAGCCCGCGGCGTGGACTGGCGATATTGATGCAGCGTGCACAACAGTATAGGCTCCAGTAATTCTGCCAAGACTTAGCCTTTTCCAGCCTTCATTGCTAGCACCCCCTGCCGTGCGTACAACTCAGTAGTGTAGAAGGTATAGATCACATGCTCTGGGTGTGGAGGGAAGCACGTGCCAGTCATTGATATGCACACAGGTGTGTTCTGTGCTTAGTCACTTTCCTGTTAGTTCTGTTGCACCTGTTAGGCAGGACACCCACAGTCTGCCTCAGCCTGAGTACAGCTGTAAAGTCAAAAGAAGTTAGTCTGAGGATGTATTTCTGCTGTTTCATGACTGTGGATGAATCCTGATGCAGTGAGGAAGATGTCTCCGGCTCATTCCTTTACACACATATTCCAGCAGTGATCAATATGCTGGTGGTGTTCCGCTGTATCTCTCTGACAGTAGCATGTAGCAGGAGAGGCACACAGTGAAATATGCACAGGTGTAGACACTCATATAGAGGATGGTGGAATGAGCTCCCCATTGACATCAGGACGGCAGATAGCTTGCACATCTTCCGGCGCAGACTGAAAACTCATCTCTTTCGACTCCACTTCGAGCGATAGAACTATTAACGAAAGCACTTATATACTAATAAAGGGCTGGCTTACCTAAAGCCAGTTGAGTAGCACTTGAAATGTTTGGCTCTATGAAACCTGATGTACTTATATGATTCTGTTTTCTTCAAGTTGTATTTTGTTGGACGAATGCACTTATTGTAAGTCGCTTTGGATAAAAGCGTCAGCTAAATGTAATGTAATGTAATGTAATGTAATATAGAGGCAGTCATTGATCATATATTCAGGTAGGCCGACATGTTTGATTGGCAGGTCTGTTCTAAAATAATATTCAGGTCATTATTGAAGAGCCATTAAGACTTGAGACATGCAGTTTTACGTTTTATACTGTACAATTATATTTTCTATGATCTAATCTGCCAATCAGAATCAGGTTATCCCAAGTAGGTTGACACATACATAGAGTTTGCTTTGGTGTATAATGGTGCATAGTACACAAAGACAGAAAGAGATCAAGTAAACAAAAAGAAAAGAGCAAATAAAGAATTATAAAAACACATTTTCACTATTTTAAATGTAATTTTTTTTAAAGAAGTAAGTGACTAATAAATAAGTACAATAATAATTTGGTAATTTACACTGACAAAAAATAATGAAGTGTGCAGTATATCATATATAATATATCATCTAAATGTAAGAGGACTTTGAGTACATTCTAAACTGTACACAAATACATCACCCAGTAAAACTCCTTCAATGAGTGACAAGATTCAGAAAATGGTCAGTCAAGCCGGCGCCACAATGCTGTGCATGAAGCAGTCCTATATTGTAATGTGTTCATTTGAGTATACTCCTCAGTCAAATATTCAAGTCAAAGACAAATATTATTGGCTTATCATAAATACCAGTTATTGTTAAGAGAAAGTCACTTAAGAAGAGAGAATGATTCAAAGCCCAGAGGATCCAGAGGATATCTGTAGTCTGTACCCTGCAGAGTAACACTCTTCACAATATGAATAGACGTGTTTGAATTAAAAATAAGGATCAGGATGCTTCTAAAAAGCTGCAGTTACCTCTTCTGTCTGAGCTCAGCGGATTTGACTGTGATTGGGTAACATGAATATTACATTTGACATTCAGTCATTCAAATCATGTTATCTGCTTCCATTTAAAGGACTCCTATTATACTGTTTCTAGGTCTCAAAAAAGTGTGTTGCTCAAAATACCAAACAGATCACCCATTCTAGCCATGCTCTATTCCACCCTGTTAGAGAAGTTCTGATTCTGGGTCCTTAGCTGGGGGGGGGGGGCGGCTTAGGCCTGCTCAGAGATTCGCCGTAATGAAGCGCCATATTATGTTCCAAACCACATTGTCGTGGCTTCCTTCCTTGTTTATCTATCCAGCCACTAGACATGTTTGAACTCCTTTTCTTCCTTTATATTTGTGTTACTTACAGTTTGAAGAGTTGCTTGGCCTCCGATGGATTGGATGGTATTAAGCGATGTGTTTTCTCAAAAATAAAATAACAAACCTTTACATGTGCAACAAAGAAAAGAGGGCTTTACAATAGTCAAAACAAATAAGCAAAACTCAAATAAAATAACAAACAATTTAGGGATTCTTTCTTCTTGATAAGGCTTATATAACTTACTAACTTAAAGGGTAGTTTAACGGGGAAAACTGTTCCTCAACGGCGTCTTTCTAGCATGTTGCCCATCACTGTCACTTTAGAGGAGGCGCTGTGGGATTTGTAGTCTTTTATAGTGTGTTGACTACAGATGTCACAATTAGGTGGCCTTTCTTATCAAATCAAAATACTGGCTCTAACACACATCAAGGATTCTCTCTGAAACAGTATGGAGCTCAAATGCTTTTTCTCTGGCTGGTATACCACAAGGTGAGTTCCTTTTTATTTCCTGCTTTTTTACACACACTCTCTCCAGTAAAGGTTAGCTCTGAGTGTTAGCGATGCTTGCTAATGTAAACAAAGACCATATTACGTCCAAAACGTTGCGCATTGTTTCTGATAGCAACTTTCTGATTGGCCCGTGGGTCCACATTTCAGATATTACGTCATATCGGACGCAGATCTGGATCAGCTCCGTTGTACCCCCGTTTTTAGAGATTTGGGTACGGAGGAAAAGAGAGAGGGGTTTGTTTTCTGACACTGTGAGTTCCCCGACACACATATTTATGTATTAAAGACATAATAAAGAGCATTTTGCATAATAGGAGACCTTTAATGTTTGTGGATAGTTTCATAAACAGGTATCCATCTTGCTTTAGAAATCAATATAACCCCCTGCTCTCTTGCTGTGTGTCACCAGGCCGCGCTGAATATGCTGACTCGCTGTCTAGCTGAGGATTTCAGGAGACACAACATCCTGGTGGCGGCGGTCCACCCCGGATGGGTGCGCACGGCGATGGGGGGGGAAGAGGTGAGCTAAGGGGGAGTGACAGGGTAGTTCAAACCACCTTCTGAATTCATGCAGCAGAACTGGTTTCAGTGGAGAAGGGGTGCCAGTGGCCCCCGGTAGTTCCCCGCGGAGGCCCCCACCCTATAGACGAGCAGCTGTGTCCCGTGACTTCTACTCACTTTCTTTGTTCTTGTGATTGTTTGTCTCGTCTCCCCCAGGCTTCTCTGACCCCCCAGGACAGCGTGGGGGGGATGCTCAGTATCCTGACATCACTCAGCAACAAACACTCTGGGATGCTCCTGGACTGGGAGGGCAACACAATCCCCTGGTAGCAGTCACCATGACAACCACCGTAAAAAAGATCGAGTCACATCTGAAATCAACGTGTATCTTATAGGCCTGTATTACCTATCAGAAATAAAGTCAACAGAACTTAATAAAACTGAAGAAAAGAAACCCCTTTCTTGTTAAGCGTATAGACTTTATATCTGTTCCAGTCACACCAACGTCCCTGATTCTATTCCGTAACAAGTCATCCAAAATATTTCCGACACATGAGTTTTAGGTAGCTGTTGGTTCATGCACACTAAGAGTACACACACATGCAACACATGTTGCTAGTTGGAGGTATAACACAGGAAGCACAGTGCAAGCTGAATTCCCCTGTTCAGATGAAACTGCTGTGATCATCGTGCTAACAACGGAGAGTCATTTACCTGTGTTTCTAGCAGGAACAGATAATGTAACACAACTTAGTCATCCGGAGTTCCCCTTTTTGAATATCTATATGGTACATTGTTTATGTAAAACTTGCGACGGATATTGTACGTTTTCAATCACATTTTCAGACAGTTTTTGTCTTCCCGAGATGCAGCTGCTCATCACTGACACTTGGCCTTGACTGAGGTGGCCGACACGGGCAAACTCATTATAACGGCCAAGAGCAATTCTTAGGATAAACACGCTGCCAAAACGATGCAAATCAAAAAAGATCTATTGGCAGCGTTCTGTTTAAGCAGCGCTTTGATGAAATGCTCCGCATGTTTTGAGAGCTTGGTGAAGATGTTTCTTCATTTGCATGTGTTTTTGCACATTTCCTGTTTTTATATGTGCATCGTGAAACTTCAGAGCGGTTCCTCCTAATGGAAAAGCTTTGGGCGGTTGCAGCGCGTTTGCACCTGTCGGCCACCGTATAGTTCACCTATTATTCACATTTGATCATCAGTTTTGAATATTTGAAAGAAACGACCATACCACAGTTTCAGAGAAAAGAGAAAAGCAGGTTTAATTTCATGTCTAGATTTGAACCTTTTACACTCCTTGTCTCTAATACATGCCTCTTACAAAACAACCTACATATAGTTTCTCAGAAAGCCACTGAGAGGGCACCGGATCCGCTCCCACCTGCATCAGCGGACCTGTGCAGGGCTCGTGTTGCCTTCACTGCTCGATTGTAATCAGTGTGAAACTCACTGCAGCGCGGCAAAACGTTCAAGATGGCCGTGTGCTCCAGTGCTTTTTAGAAAGTGTGCCTTTGTCAGGGATGGAGAAGAGCATAGATGTACTACAACATACAGTCATACATATCATCTGGAATTTACACATCCATAACAACAATGATACACGGATCAGGAATCAGCCAGAATTATACGGTATAGCAATAATAATAACAATTATTGATATTGTCTAAAAACTACACTTATGTTTTCATCTTTTCTTTCTTCTTCTTCAAAAAAAGAACCATATATTTATATTTATATACTGGAAGTCCTTTTTCTTTCTTGGTTTTCTGACTTAACAGTAACTTAAATATTTACAGTGATTATTTTACAACCATTGGCCCAGCCCACTGAAAATACAAATGTTCCTTTGAGTAGAATAAAAAGGAGGGATGGGGTAGGAATGGTCCCAGTGGAAGGTGAGGTAGGAAGGGAGCAGAGGGTGGATGTGGGGTCTCCACCCCACACTGGAGGGGCTCCACAGGTCCTCCTACCCCGAGCTGCAGGGGCGTACCATCCCTTCGTTCCGGGGGGGGGGAGTCTCTGCCCGATGTTCCTGGGACTCTGAGTTTATGTCACTGCCCCCCCCCCCCTACATCACCAGCAGCTGCCCCAGCACCATCCTGAAGTGCTGCGTGCACCCCGCCAGCTCCCTCACCCTGTCAGTCATCTCCCTGGTGGCTCCGGGGGAGGGGTACTGCAGCGCCGCCGTCTTGGTGCTGATCACAATGTCTTTGAGTTTTTCGCAGAGCGTGTTGCTGCTCTGCCCCACGCGGGCCCTCACCTCGGGGCCCTTGGCCTGCCGGGACAGCGTGTCCCCGATGAACACCAGCTTGTGTGCGCTGAGGATGACAAACTTGCTGTGCGCCACGAAGATCTTTGGGGGTTGGTTAGAGTTGACGGCGGTGAAGAAGGCGTCGATGGCGTTGGTTACCGTGGTGACGTTCTGCTCACACTGCTCCTGGTAGAAGAGGAGGAGCTGCCGGTCGCCGTGGCACAGCTTGGAGGAGGAGGAGCAGGAGGAGGAGCCTCCAGAGCCATTCTGGGCCTGCTGGTTGGCTGGAGGGTGCAGTGGGGGCGGGACCCAGCCCGTCATGTCGTTGTTGATTGGCCGGCTGACTTCCTGCTCCAGCCGCTCAAACTGTTTAATCTGGAGAGGAGAGGAGAGGAGGGGGACAGTTAATACTTAATGTAAATTATAAATGAATGAATTCTGTTTGAGTAACATCTGACATTCCAGTGTGTGTGTGTGTGTGTGTGTGTGTGTGTGTGTGTGTGTGTGTGTGTGTGTGTGGAACCTTAGAAGGGATGCTGATAGTGATACAAACACAGAATCATTATCAAACTCTGAAGCTATACACAGCTTATTATACTCACTTAGCTCATATCATCTTTATTTTAAGCCAATCATATATCAAATATATGTCCTTTTCTATTTGTATAGTAGACATATACAAATAGAGCAGAGTAGATATACTGATATGCCTATTTGTAGTGCATCACAGAATAAACGATATAACGGCTATAATATATATCATATTACTCGCTTTTCTTTAATGCTGTTTGTTGTGTGTAGAGGCTGTAGGTGTGTGTGTAGGTGTGTGTGTAGGTGTGTGTGTAGACTGAGTAAAGACGGGTACCTGTTGCTGTTCCAGTTGTGTCTTGTGTCTGCTGATGTTGCCTTTCTCCAGCAGCTGTTTTTGGTTCTTCTCAAACTCTTCCTTTCCCTGACAGATCAACACACAGACACACAGCTGTTACACCACTGTTACACATCTCTCTGTTTCTGGATCAGTAGACAAAGAAAAGTAATGATCTGTCTCCCTCTAGTGGTGACTGACAGACACTGCAATCACTTTGAGTTGAAATCTATCGCTTATCTGTAAATCTGTAATGACATAGTGACTCTGAAGGTCAGTCAGCTGGATAAGGAAATGTTTACTCAAGGCTAACACGAAAGCTTGGAACCATTCAATAGTGAACAACTATTCATAGTACTCTCAGATACAGCATCAACTAACACACAGTCAAACAGAGTGATAGCAAGGAGCTTTACTGCATGTCTCTACAAATGGGTATTGATAACCACTCTTGTCAACTTAACAATCATTTTAGTTTGAGTTAAAAATGATTTGTTATACTATAGTTGTACTGATAATGTTGGTCCGTGCTAATTTCTATTTTATAATTGTTAGTTGGTAGACTATGTAAAGTTTTAAGTGTTTATTGATTGTGTAGATCAGGGGTGTCAAACTCAATTTCATCGCGGGCCACATTAACATTATGGTTGCACTCAAAGGGCCGGTTGTAACTATATAAATATACATATATCAAATAATGTATTATATGACATTATTGCCTCTGAATTGGATTATTATCGGATAGGATAATAACTTAGTAATTAACTACGTCTGAAAGCAGAAGTCCAGGGCAAATAATTGCAAGTTTCTTCATTGCGCAAGTCACAAAACAAAATGCATTGTGGGACATGTAGTTTATGGGCAACCTGCTTCTGTAAAGTGGCATGTAACCGTATAATAAACATTATATTCTTTGCAAGCTCTTGCAGGGCCACATCAAATGAAGTCGCGGGCCAGATTTGGCCCCCGGGCCTTGTGTTTGACACCCCTAGTGTAGATGGATATAAGCTAACGGCTAAATTGGGCACAAGTCATGTCTTCTCTTTTTAAAATCAATGTATTTTGTTGCATGGCCCTTGTTTTATAAAGACATGATGTATAAATATTTGTTGGAAAGAAAGAAGAAAAATGAAAATAAAATGTCGACACAAATAAAGTATTAAGGGCAGCTCACGGACTCTGCTCCAGTGCAACACATGAGCACATGATGTGAGTATCCTGACTGAAGGTGTGTGATCAGTTCATTGCTAAAGTAAGTAACATGAAACTATCTTTTTCTTTCTGTCTGGGCTTTATGAAAAGTGTGTGTACCTGTAAATGTACATAGTCGTAGTCCTCCATCCAGCCCTCCTCTGTGCTCTCGTACGGCCGCTCCATACCCTCCTCCTCCTCTGCAGCTGAGAACTTCGGCGGCGAGGGGAGGGGTCTCGACTGAATGTGCACCTTCTCCCCTCCCTGATAGCTCCCACTTCCTGATCCTGTCATGTGACTGCTGATCTCTCCTGGGATTGGAGGAAGCGGAAGCTGCTGCTGCTGCCGGTTGTTTCTCTTGAAGAGCAGCGAGGCGTTGCCGTGGAGGAAGGAGGCCAGCTGCTTGGCGTCGTCAGGGATACCTCGAGCCGTCATGATGAGCCGATCTAAGTCGTCCCCTCCTGGTGGCGGCGCTGCGAGCCCAGTGTGCGACCAGGAAATGGCGTCCAAACCCTGACTGTGCTGAATCAGACTCTGGAAGACCTCCTCCATCTTCCCCACCTGACGGAACAGCTTGGTCTGCAGAGAGCGGTCCGTGGCCTGGGCGGAGTTAGCCACCGCGCCCCGGGCAAACTCCAGGAAGTCCCTCACCGCAGAGCGCACACGGTCAGCGGCCTGGTGGATGGCCGGGAGGTTCCCCTCCAGCTGAGCAGAGCTTCTCCAGTTTCCTGTGATGAAGGACATCATGAGGGACACGCTGGACTCCACGGCCTGCTGCAGGCGGGACAGGCGCTCCATGGCCTGCTCCAGGTCCAGGATGAGGGGTTTCCCTGGAGCAGAGCCAGGAAGTGAGGAGGATGAGGAGCTGTCTCGGACTGGGACCATGTCCAGGGAGGAGGCAGAGTGGTTGCTCCGTGTACTTCCTGTGCTCGAGGCAGAGAGACGCTTGAAGGACAGGCTGAGGTCCTCACTGGTGGACTGGGCGTCACGCACCACCTGGAAATACAGCACATCTGGATTAAAGCAGATGCTAACAAGCTAGGCTAGCAGTGTCCTGTTTGCGTATTTAGCTAACAGGGTTCATTACATCAGTACAAACTATGATTATTACTTTTATATTTATATGATTT